GAGAAAAAAATTCGAGTAGGTACTGAAATTTTTGGACGAAATTAAAAAATTTCGAATCGTTTTGAAAAAATTATTCTCGGTTGCGGGGGTCAATTACAATCATTTTTGGTTATTACACATACCCTCGAAATCCTACGCATTTTCGAGAAAAAAATTCCTTACCGAAAATATGTCTGACCATACATTGATATGCTTCCCTGAAAATTCATACGAATCTTTAAAATGTCATAACTCCTGAACGAATTGGACGATTTTAATGTTTAAAATCGCAAACGACGCGTATTTTAGTGAAGAATATCTAAAAATTCCAAGAATATTCGAAAAGTTGATCCTTCACCCCGTAAAATGAGAAAACCCCCATAAAAAATTACCCAATCTTCAAACGTCCATAACTTCCACAATAGGGGACGTATCTCAATGAAATTTAGTATGGAAGTAGAGCTCATTGATACCTACGAAAAAGTACTAAACAAAATTTCCGTGGGACGTCAAACAAATTTATTATAAATGAAACAAGAATTCAAATTATTAAAGAATTAAATAATTAAAATAATACATAACATAATGATATTTGATTGGTTTTGTTGTGTCTGTAAAAAGAAAATATTTTGATTATATGATATTACTTAAAAAAATAGCCAATAAATTGTTAATAGAGACATTATCAATAAATTAATCATTTTATACCAATTTTCTTTGGATTGTTTGACCGTTAAATAGTCGAAACCAGCTGAAATATCGAGGCGTCCGATTCACATTTCACCTTAAATTTTTTAGTTACCCTCCGGGGAAATTAGGACACCCGGAAATTCGGAAAATTTTGTAACACCGGGGGCATACAGAGTGGTTCATTTTTCATTGATGCTATATAGGGCTTGGAAGGGTAAAAATCGATCTTTATAAAAAATGTAGGCGTCCCTTTCTCACCGAATGACTGCGGAACAATGAAAAATACAACAAAATGGTTTAAAGGCAGCTTCGTCCCTTTTTGTCTTCGATTTATTTAAATAATGTAACACGGTAAAAAGAGTGTGAGATAGTGATTCTCGTTCCAAATTGTTGCAATCTACTTGCTGTAAATAAAACTACAAATCCCAGATGAAAAGTTAAAGATTTTTGAATTGATTTGATTTTGAATTTGAATTTGATTTTTAAAATGTATGAAAATGAGTATATCTATGAAATATTCAATATTTCATTAGTAAAGATTTTAATGGGACATTCTAGAGGCCAAAATAGGGCGAAAATCAAGAATATCAATTTGTTGATGGAGGCTTCGTTAAAAAGTTATTAACATTTAAAGCTCCGCCCTTACTGAATTTTTTTCTCGAAAGTGGGCAGGATTTCGAGGGTATGTCTAATGACCAAAAATGATTGTAATTGAACCCTGGGCCTGAAAATAATTTTTCCAAAACGATTCCAAATTTTTTAATTTCATTGAAAAATTTCGAACCTTCTCGAATTTTTTTCTCGAAATTGCGCAGGATTTCGGGGGAATGACTATAGACCAAAATTGATTGCAATTGAGCTCTGCAACCGAGAATATTTTTTTTAGAACGATTTGAAATTTTTTAATTTTGTCGAAAAATTTCACACCTTCTCGAATTTTTGTCTCGAAAATGGATAGGATTTCGAGGGTATGTCTATTCACCAAAAATGCTTATAATTGACCCCTAGAGCCAAGAATATTTTTTCCAGAACGATTTGAAATTTTCCAATTTCGTCGAATTTCAGGGGAATCACCATTCATGGTCAGACATTCTAAACATTAACTGTTTTGTATTAGAAGCTAACTGGAAGGTCTACGTACATTATAAAGTCAGTAAAAGAGGGTTATTTGTCTAACTTTCTTCTGAAATAATGAAAACAAAACGAATTACTCGTCGAATCTCTTACAATTAGGATAACGACAATATAAGAATGAATATTAAATGGTGGGAGATCAACGTATTAGATAAAACGGAAGTGGAGCATCCGGGATCCAAGTTTCCACAAATTCCCGAAGGATGGAGAGCTCTGCAGCTTAATCAACAGAGCTACGCGAAACACGAGTTCAAAGGGAATTGCATAGAAGCGCGCAGATTTCATCAAAGTCTCTGATTAAATCTCTCGGTCGACGATACATTTTTATTGAATCGTGCATAGATGACGGTGTATACGTTATATCAGATAATATAATTCGAACGAATTCTTACACAGAAACACACATTTCAAATAAACTGAAAACGAAACGCAAGGCGTCGAGTTTGGAGTTTGGAGTTTGAAATTCCCTTTCAAGTTCCAAGCAAAGCTACCTTCAATTTTGTTTAGACACGTTCATTGTTTTAATTAATGGAAAATCGAAATTTGAAAACCCAGACCTAACCCAGACCAATTCATCGCTGATAACGGGGGTTAGGTTTGGGTTAGGTTTGGGTTAGGTTTGGGTTAGGTCTGGGTTAGGTCTGTATTAGATCTGAATTAGATCTGGGTTAGGTCTGGGTTAGGTCTGGATTAGATCTGAGTTAGGTCTGGGTTAGGTCTGGATTAGATCTGAGTTAGGTCTGGATTAGGTCTGGATTAGATCTGAGTTAGCTCTGGGTTAGGTCTGGATTAGATTTGGGTTAGGTCTGGTTTAGGTCTGGGTTAGGTCTGTATTAGATCTGGGTTAGGTCTGTATTAGATCTGTATTAGGTCTCGGTTAGGTCTGGGTTAGGTCTGGATTAGTTCTGGGTTAGGTCTGGGTTAGGTCTGGGTTAGGTCTGGATTAGTTCTGGGTTAGGTCTGGGTTAGGTCTGGATTAGTTCTGGGTTAGGTCTGGGTTAGGTCTGGGTTAGGTCTGGGTTAGGTCTGGATTAGATCTGAGTTAGGTCTGGGTTAGGTCTGGATTAGATCTGAATTAGATTTGGGTTAGGTCTGGGTTAGGTCTGGGTTAGGTCTGGATTTATAGATAACCTTATTCCCCTAGGGAATAGATTTATTTTTTTTTAAATAGATTTAACCCATACCTAACCCAGACCTAACCCAGACCTAACCCAGACCTAATCCAGACCTAACCCAGACCTAACCCAGACCTAATCCAGACCTAACCCAGACCTAACCCAGACCTAACCCAGACCTAACCCAGACCTAACCCAGACCTAACCCAGACCTAACCCAGACCTAACCCAGACCTAACCCAGACCTAACCCAGACCTAACCCAGACCTAACCCAGACCTAACCCAGACCTAACCCAGACCTAACCCAGACCTAACCCAGACCTAACCCAGACCTAACCCAACCTAACCCAGACCTAACCCAGACCTAACCCAGACCTAACCCAGACCTAACCCAGATATAATCCAGACCTAACCCAGACCTAACCCAGACCTAACCCAGATATAATCCAGACCTAACCCAGACCTAATCCAGATCTAATCCAGACCTAACCCAGACCTAAAACAGACCTAAACCAGACCTAACCCAAACCTAACCCAGACCTAACCCAGACCTAACCCAGACCTAACCCAGACCAAGGGTCACTCCAATAATGGCGATAATTCTTCGCGATTATTATTTCATTTAATTTACACGTCGCCACGTAATAAAATTCTTTCAAACAGAAAATATTAACACTAGATTTACGGGCATTGATCGCGCGTATATTTATTAATACCTTTCGTGTTGACGATTATCATAAAATACGATTTTTCTTTTAATTAGAATATGCATTCGTGCCATTGCATCAAGCAAATTCAACGCAAGTTGTTAAAAATTAATATTTACGCGTTCTACAATTTTAAATATGGAATCAAATTGACGGCTTCCGTAAATCTGGTGTTAAAATGGTTTGAAAAGGAATTAACGTTCAATCGATTCCTACATTAAGTTTACTTTGTGCAAGATAAGACATTTGATTTATTTTTCATATTTTTCTCCACGTGTTCGTATTAATTTAACCAGTTTTTATTTTTGGTCGAATAAATCCGGAAAATGCCGCTAGAGAACGCAATTTTTAACGACTGAATAATCACTTTGTCCGGCTCGCGAGCGGTGAAAACGTGTCTTCTTTTTATTCGCGCGCTGTTATATAATATTACAGCGTAACTTTTCCATGGACCTAATTCTATGCATTAAAACGTAAGTGTCTTCACAATTTCGTAAAAAAGAGAACGATTAGAACATAAATGAGACGTAATTTTACAATTATACAATTTTCGTAATACCCCCAAAAAAAGCACAGAATAAAATATTCCTAATGCGTGCTACAAACTGACACATAAGCTATATTTAAATTTACAATTTTACATTTTTTACCAGAAGAATATTGATTAAATCGCGTATAAATTAGTTGGAGAAGTTATTTTTATTATTTATTACTATGTGAATGGGTTTTGACAAATTTTGTTCATCAGGATTACATTTAAAAAGTTTTAAACTTTCTTTTGCCTTTAGCATATTAAAAAAAATCTCAATATTTTCGAAAAATCTCTATTTTCATCGATAAAGGCGCGTCTGTTGAATATTTTCACCAAATTTGAACTCAGTCGGTCTGCTAGATCTTGAAATACCATGAAAACCACTTTAAATGCGTTTTTTAAAACAATAACTTATAACTCCCCCAATTTTTAATACTTTTTGATGAAAAAAATGCTGTACATACTTACAAATTGAATAAATATATCTGCAAAGTCTGTTGAGGCGTTCGAAATCTCCCGCCAATAATCACGCGGGCCAAGTGGCGCCACCTGTAATAAGATTGGAGGGGAAGTATTCCTAAGGAACAAAGTTTATCAAGAATTATCGAGTTATCGTGAATTAGGTATTTCTCAGACTTCGTTATCCTTTATTGTATAAATATAAACCTAGATAAGTTAGGTTAAGGTTGAGGTTAAGTTAATGAAGGGTGTAAGGAGGATTGTAGGATAAGGAGGAGGCTTGTAACCCTAAGGGGAACACAATAAAGTGACTACTACTACTACGTATAAATATAAACGAATATTTTCGATCTTTACTTACTTTTCGATGTTTAAATTTCCAGATATACCAAAAGCTTCCGAGGGCAGCCCGGCGAAAGTAGAGCAAGAGTCCCCTCGCGAGAAGTCAGGGGAGACGAAGGAGCCAAAAGAGTCGCAGGAAAAGGAAGACACAGTCGCGGATCAAGAAAGGGAGAAAGCCGCGACGAGAATACAAGCGGCGTTCCGCGGCCTACACGTTAGGAAGAGTATGAAAGAGACTGAATCCTCGACAAAGCAGACGGGGACCAAATCCGATCCAGACCCTACCAAAGAACAACTTCAGGAGGAATTCCGCGCCGACGACAAGGGTGAGTGTCACCTACGAACCCTTCGAATCGTCCCTCTAATTTAAAAATTCCCTTTTGCCCGTCCACGTCGTTTCTAAATGCTTTCGTTCTCGCGGAGGGGGGGGAAATTATAGAGTTTACTGAACGAAATGGCTATCTGTTCGCTTTGATCGCATTTTGGCTCGTTTGTTCTACGTGCTTGTGTCGATAAATCACACTGTAATAGCTTCTACAATGGTGGGTGCGCAGAAAATAATTCTGTGTATAGTTTGAATGGTACAGACCTAACCCAGACCTAACCCAAACCTAACCCAAACCTAACCCAGACCTAATCCCCGTTATCAGCGATGAATTGGTCTGGGTTAGGTCTGGATTAGGTCTGGGTTAGGTCTGGGTTAGGTCTGGTTTAGGTCTGGGTTAGGTCTGGGTTAGGTCTGGGTTAGGTCTGGGTTAGGTCTGGGTTAGGTCTGGGTTAGGTCTGGGTTAGGTCTGGGTTAGGTCTGGGTTAGGTCTGGGTTAGGTCTGGGTTAGGTCTGGGTTAGGTCTGGGTTAGGTCTGGGTTAGGTCTGGGTTAGGTCTGGGTTAGGTCTGGGTTAGGTCTGGGTTAGGTCTGGGTTAGGTCTGGGTTAGGTCTGGGTTAGGTCTGGGTTAGGGCTGGGTTAGGTCTGGGTTAGGTCTGGGTTAGGTCTGGGTTAGGTCTGGGTTAGGTCTGGGTTAGGTCTGGGTTAGGTCTGGGTTAGGTCTGGGTTAGGTCTGGGTTAGGTCTGGGTTAGGTCTGGGTTAGGTCTGGGTTAGGTCTGGGTTAGGTCTGGGTTAGGTCTGGGTTAGGTCTGGGTTAGGTCTGGGTTAGGTCTGGATTAATAGATAACCTTATTCCCCTAGGGAATAGATTTATTTTTTTTTAAATAGATTTAACCCAGACCTAACCCAGACCTAACCCAGAACTAATCCAGACCTAACCCAGACCTAACCCAGAACTAATCCAGACCTAACCCAGACCTATCCAGATCTAACTCAGACCTAACCCAGACCTAACCCAGACCTAATGCAGACCTAATCCAGACCTAACCCAGACCTAACCCACACCTAACCCAGACCTAACCCAGACCTAATCCAGACCTAACCCAGAACTAATCCAGACCTAACCCAGACCTAACCAGATCTAACTCAGACCTAACCCAGACCTAACCCAGACCTAATGCAGACCTAACCCACACCTAACCCAGACCTAACCCAGACCTAATCCAGACCTAACCCAGACCTAATCTACACCTAATCCAGACCTAACCCAGACCTAACCAGATCTAACTCAGACCTAACCCAGACCTAACCCAGACCTAATCCAGACCTAACCCAGACCTAATCCAGACCTAACCCAGACCTAACCCAGACCTAACCCAGATAAATTTAATTTGGCTAGTGTTCAAATATTTATCTATAAAAATAACTACACAATTTTTTCTTTTTCTTGCATCGTACAAACATTTTGAAATACTTATTCTCAGCGTAGAGAATTTAGTTTCCAAATTAATCTGTAATATCTCGTACAAATTTTTTGTGTTACGTATATTTTCTGTTGGGGTTTTGAATAACTCAATATATTTCGTTATTACGAATAATGCAGATACATAATACAGATATATATAATAAGTAATAAGTAGACTGCTGATCTTTATGCAAATTCCTATATTTATTAATAAAATTGATAAAATAAGAGCTTCGTAGAGGGTTCTTTCAACCCCTAAATACAATAATTCTTATCTTACTTTAAGTATTTCTTATATTTTTGCTTATTAAATGCATTCTGTAGTTTTTTTCAGGATTAAAATTCCCCATAAATGCATAAATATCCGCCAGTCTAGTAATAAGCATAAAAAGAACAAACTCAAACAGGCGTACGCCTAAGCACAACTACATGGCGCATAGGTGGCGCTGCAGTCGGACGAGCTAACCTTCATTTTCTTACTTCGTTACTTAGAAAGCGACTCGAACTCTACTTAAACGTTCGTTTCGAATTGAATTGAAATGTTGAATTTAATTTGCTCGATTTTCTCGTCTCAGGGATCCACTTTCTAGTAATAAGCATAAAAAGAACAAACTAAAATAGGCGTACGCCTGAGCACGACCACGTGGCGCATAGGTGGCGCTGCGGTCGGACGAGCTAACCTTCATTTCCTTACTTCGTTACTTAGAAAGCGACTTAAACGTTCGTTTCGAATTGAATTGAAATGTTGAGTTTAATTTTGCTCGATTTTCTCGTCTCAGGGATCCACTTTTACGATATCGTCGCGCGTGTGAAAAAGGATCGAGGGCCTCTCCGGCGTGCCATTTTAGATAATGGGTTTCTTTTCATAGCGAAACGTTCACGCGATGCGACTTCCATGATATCGCGATATTAATATCAAATCGTGGATTCGTTCCTTCGAATGTCACGATATGGTTGCTCGTGGAAGTTTCTGAGGTTATCGAAACTCCCACGGAACATCGCGAAATGCAAGCCACGCCTCGAAATCCGGGTCACCGGGAGTCAGCCGGAACCGGCCGTGGAAAATCGCGAGCAATTTCCACGGAAATTCCAAGACCTCCGGTCAAAATTCAGGGAAGGTAACAATCCACGGGAAAATTTTCATACTCTCCCCTCTCTCTCTCTCTCTCTGGGGAGCCACGGAGAACAAAACTGCTGCATGAGACGAGAATACCAGAGAAGTTTAAGGCGCGTCTCGTTTGGGGGGGGTGAACGAGAATCCACTTTACCAACTATATCTAGAACACGATACGATATTAGTTTCGTTCGAGCGTGATTCTATCGGAAGAGTATTGGTCAATTCGAAAAAATATCTTGTTGGATTATTTTGTGTTTTCTCGATTAGATAGCCACAAAATACACACTTTTGTAATATGAATGTAAAGGTTTAACCTCAAAACACAATTAAACATTCAATTTAGAATCAGCAATACATAACCTAAACAGTTGCTATGCTGCTAACCGCTATATACCATACTGCTGGCCTCTACTCCTTAACACTTTACCGACCGGTAGCGGTTGATTAATTGGCTATCGGTCGGTAAGCGTTGGCCGGTAAAACAGTCGATTAATAGGCTATCGGTCGGTAAGCGTTGGCCGGTAAAACAGTTGAGCAAGGTAATTCCTTTGCAATATCGTGTCCGATTAATCTACTTTCAATTACTTGCAATTATTTATTTTATTTCTCTTGTGACAGGACTTTAGTCTTCGTTTGATAGATCTCTGGAGATCTAGAATACATCTACGGCAGTCGTGGAGTTCACGCTATTCGTCTAAAATTTGTAATTCTGAAAAAAATTGCTTGTATGTTGGGGGAAAAAAGTGGTTTCGAAGTTATGTTCGTGCTATATTTTGTAATTCTCGGGGGAAAATGGAGTACGACACAAAAGTTTGGCGACCTATTTTCGAAGCACTCGTGTATACGTGTGTATACTGATGCCATTCGGTTGATTAAGATTCTTAATCCTAACTGCTAAGTTCCAAGATGGAGAGTGGCCTTGGAATGCTTCCACGCTGGCACGATTTACATGCTTTGCTACTTAGAACCTGTAAATCTTCGTTCTTCTTCATTTCTCCTCCCCGATCTCCGAGCTAATCTTCCTATAGTAATTAATTAGTCTCTTATAGCTCGATCCGTCCATAAAAATCTAGCTCTAACGTCCCCCTTTGGCGTCTCACGTCTTTTATATCTTTCCTTGTCCTCCTTTGTCTACCCTAAATACTTGTTGGATCTTTATTGATCATATCAAATGATTATTTGAGTGACTGGACTTTTCATTGTAGGAATTGAAATTAGTTTTTCATTTTTAGTAATTTTGTTTGACGCCCTACGGAAAAGTTGTCTAATACTTTTTTTTAGATACCCATGAGCTCTACTTCCACTAAAAATTTCAATGAGATACCTTTACTATTGTGGGAGTTATGGCCGTTTGAAAATTTGAACATTTTATAGGGGGTTTTTTTCATATTACGGTGTCAAGGATCATCTTTTTGAATATTCTTGGAATTTCTACATATTCTTGATTAAAATACGCGTTGTTTGCCTTTTTAAACATTAAAATCGGCCAATCCGTTCAGAAGTTATGACGTTTCAAAGATCCGCATGAAATTTCAGGGAAGCATATCAATGTGTGGTCGGACATATTTTCGGAAAGGAATTTTTTTCTCGAAAATGCGTAGGATTTCAGGAGTATATGTAATGACAAAAAATGATTATAATTGACCTCTGCAACCGGATATATTTTTTTCATAACGATTTGTAATGTTTTTTTTTCGTCGAAAAATTTCATAATTTCTCGAATTTTTTTCTAGAAAGTGGGCATGATTTCGAGGGTATGTCTATTGACCAAAACCGATTATAATTGACCCTTGCAACCGAAAATATTTTTTCCAGAAAGATTTGAAATTTTTTTTTAGTTAGGCACCTACCCCCTTGTCTATTATTCTTAAAAATTCGTTTTTGATTTATAGTAATTTTGTTTGACGCTCTACGGAAAAGTTGTCCAATACTTTTTTGTAGGTGCCCGTAGGCTCTACTTCCACTAAAAATTTCAATGAGATACCTTTACTATTGTGGGAGTTATGGCCGTTTGAAAATTGGAACATTTTATAGGGTGTTTTTTTCATTTTACGGTGTCAATAAACAACTTTTCCAATATTGTTAGAGTGTCTACGTATTCCCCACTAAAATACGCGTTGTTTGGTTTTTGAAACATTAAAATCGGCCAATCCGTTCAGAAGTTATGACGTTTCAAAGATCCGCATGAAATTTCAGGGAAGCATATCAATGTGTGGTCGGACATATTTTCGGAAAGGAATTTTTTTCTCGAAAATGCGTAGGATTTCAGGAGTATATGTAATGACAAAAAATGATTATAATTGACCTCTGCAACCGGATATATTTTTTTCATAACGATTTGTAATGTTTTTTTTTTGTCGAAAAATTTCATAATTTCTCGAATTTTTTTCTAGAAAGTGGGCATGATTTCGAGGGTATGTCTATTGACCAAAACCGATTATAATTGACCCTTGCAACCGAAAATATTTTTTCCAGAAAGATTTGAAATTTTTTTTTAGTTAGGCACCTACCCCCTTGTCTATTATTCTTAAAAATTCGTTTTTGATTTATAGTAATTTTGTTTGACGCTCTACGGAAAAGTTGTCCAATACTTTTTTGTAGGTGCCCGTAGGCTCTACTTCCACTAAAAATTTCAATGAGATACCTTTACTATTGTGGGAGTTATGGCCGTTTGAAAATTGGAACATTTTATAGGGTGTTTTTTTCATTTTACGGTGTCAATAAACAACTTTTCCAATATTGTTAGAGTGTCTACGTATTCCCCACTAAAATACGCGTTGTTTGGTTTTTGAAACATTAAAATCGGCCAATCCGTTCAGAAGTTATGACATTTTAAAGATCCGCATGAAATTTCAGGGAAGCATATCAATGTATGGTCGGACATATTTTCGGAAAGGAATTTTTTTCTCGAAAATGCGTAGGATTTCAGGAGTATATGTAATGACAAAAAATGATTATAATTGACCTCTGCAACCGGATATATTTTTTTCATAACGATTTGTAATGTTTTTTTTTTGTCGAAAAATTTCATAATTTCTCGAATTTTTTTCTAGAAAGTGGATAGAATTTCGAGGGTATGTCTGTTGACAAAAAACGATTACAATTGACCCCTGCAACCGGATATATTTTTTTCATAACGATTTGTAATGTTTTTTTTTCGTCGAAAAATTTCATAATTTCTCGAATTTTTTTCTAGAAAGTGGATAGGATTTCGAGGGTATGTCTATTGACAAAAAACGATTACAATTGACCCCCGCAACCGGATATATTTTTTTCATAACGATTTGTAATGTTTTTTTTTTTCGTCGAAAAATTTTTAATTATTGAGTTCAGTATAGGTAATAAACGTACTTTAGTCACGTTTAATGTAACAAATAAACATTAAAAGAGTTCATTAATTCATTGGAAAAAGTCAATTTTAACTTTGTTTCTAAAGTTAATAGTTCACGTGTAATAAAATCAGTATTTATTTCGTTCTCATTAAATACAGTGTGACTCTGAAATAGATGAAACAATTTATGTGAAATTTTAATCGTAAAGAACCGTAAATAAATACTGAACATTCCACGCAACTTTATAAAAATTTCGAATAAAAATTTCGAATAAAAGTTTCCTTGGAAAATTTCAGAGTAAATGAAACGATACTCAACGATGGGATAATCACGATAAAAGAAAGTCCCCCGATTAAACGTAATGAAATTGTTCGAAACGAACCGGAAATGAAGGGATTCGTGGGTTATTTTCGATGATTAGACAAAGCTCGATGCCTCGATTAACATTTACCTGTGGTAATGAGGCCACTGCGAATCGATTTGATAACGGCGGAGTTTATCGAGAAATTCCACGCTATGAATACCACATTACGCAATGGACAATTTCCCATTACGGATGATGTTCGTATTTTGCCGCCAGCAATTGGCCAATTACGTACTGAGAGCAATCGGCAACAACCCTCGTTTGCATTAGGTGTCGTAGATGTTATGTTTTATTTTTACAAGCACGTACTCATGACACATTTCGTATCGTAACATTAGTTTTAACACATTACCGACCGATAGCCTATCAATCGACTGTTTTACCGACCAACGCTTACCGACCGATAGCCTATCAATCGACTGTTTTACCGACCAACGCTTACCGACCGATAGCGTATTAATCGACTGTTTTACCGACGTTTACCGACCGATAGCCGATTAATCAACTGTTTTATCGGTCGGTAAAGTGTTAATAATCAAAGTTCATATCGTTTATTTTACTTTCTGTTTTTTAGACTGTCAAAGCGTAACGAAGAAGAATTTTGGAAGAGTTTTGTTACGTTTCTGGGTGACTATGACCCCCTAAATCGCGATAAATTATAAGAAATAGAGTGTCAAATGAAATTTTAAATTAAATTAAATTCTTAATTCGAAACTGGCGGTTAATTTTTGATTCGAAACAGTGTGGAACGCGCGTAACCGATAATTTGTTCAGCGCGAACGAAAAACGAAAGAAAGGGAAAACGGAAAAATAAATTTGAACAGATCGTACCTCCCTGCGGTCGAAAATGAAATGTCGACGAAAGGTAATGAAAAAAAGGCGAGGACGAGCCGTTTAATGGCGCGATAGCCGATAATTAAATATCGATTTTATTTCTTGTTCACCGGCCATCCGTCGATTGATTCGTTTTTTCGTATATTTGTCCCCCAACAGTTTGAGATATTGATTGCAAAAACGCTTTACTGTTCTTGCGACATCTCATATATACACAATTCAGTGTCAAATTTATACAAAACAAAAACTTGCAAAAAATATTATTATTTCTTTTTGATAATGAAAAACATAATTTCACGAGAGGTATCGATTAAAAATAAGTTTGTTAATTCGAAAGATTCTACCAATGAACTGTGAAAAATTTATAGAAAAATTAAAACAGAGTAAAACTTGGAAAAAATATTATTAATTCTTGTTGATAATGAAAAACATAATTTTATGAGAGATATCGATTAAAAATAAGTTTGTTGATTCGAAAGATTCTACACTAATGAACTCTAAAAAATTTATAGGAAAATTAAAACTTAAAACGAATGTTACTATTTATTTGTTGTTTCATATGGACAAACATCATTTTTCGAGAAAACTAATATCACACTTACGTCCATTGTTATCGTACTTTGTATAGAAATGATAATTTTTGTTATAAGGTACCCAATTTAACAGTCAATATTTCTTTATGGGGGTTTTCTCATTTTGCGGGGTGAAGGATCAACTTTTCGAATATTTTTGCAATTTCTACATATTCTCCATTAAAATACGCGTTGTTTGCCGTTTGAAACATCAAAATCGTCCAATCCGTTCAGAAGTTATGACATTTTAAAGATTCGCATGAAATTTCAGGGAAGCATATCAATGTATGGTCAGGCATATTTTCGGTAAGGAATTTTTTTCTCGAAACTGCGTCGGATTTTGGGGGTACTGTCTAATACTTTTTTGTAGGTACTTATAAGCTCTACTTTAGAAAAAAGTTTCATTGAAATATATTCACTATTGTAGGAGTTATGGTCGTTTGAAAATTGAACCATTTTTATGGGGTTTTTTCTAACTTTACGGGGTCAAGGAACAACTTTTTCAATATTGTTAGAATTTCTACATATTCTTCATCAAAATACGCGTTGTTTGCCGTTTGAAACATTAAAATCGCCCAATCCGTTCAGAAGTTATGACATTTTAAAGATACGCATGAATTTTCAGGGAAGCATATCAATGTATGGTCAGACATATTTTCGGTAAGGAATTTTTTTCTCGATAATGCGTAGGATTTCGAGGGTATGTCTATTCACCAAAAATGTTTATAATTGACCCTCGCAACCAAAAATAATTTTTCCAGAACGATTTGAAATTTTTTAATTTAATTTTTTAATAACTTTTTAAGAACGAAAAATTCATATTCTTGATTTTCGTCTTATTTTGGCCTCCAGAATCTCCCATTGTTTTTCAAATATAATAAACATATCTAAGAACAACAAAACTCTGACAAATTTGCAACTGAAACCACTTTAAACGAACAAACAATGCACAATGTGAATTATTACTATAAAACTATATATTTTGGCGAATTACGTTTGAGATTTTTAGTCAGTAACATTCAATTTTCTTAATTTTATTCATTATTTCCAGATTATTTGAGAGATTCAGATAATTTAATTATATAGCAACGCCAATAATAACTCCAGAAAATATTAAACAATATTAAATTGAAAACAATTTGTTTGCAATAGCCTCTATGTTTTTAAAATTTATTTTTCCTTCCGATTTAAACACTCATTTAACGCTTTTACTGCCACGTGACCCACATATGGGTCATTCTCAATTTGAAATATTAAAGAAAATCAATTTTAATAAGCTTCGTGAATTTTAACGAGATTACAAAAGTAACTAGTAGGACAACTGTTAGGTTATGTTGTTTAGAATTGTCTAAAATGGAAAGTTCTGGTCCTGTAAACAATTTTCGGAGTTTTAGAGACAGTCAACGTGTTAAAAATGGTGAATCCAGAATTTCCAGAACGAAATTCCAGCGAATCGACGTTTTTAAATCCTAGTTAATTCCATACTGTGTCTCCAGAAAGCTCTCGACGCTTTTAAGTCTTGTTTCTTTCTGAATTTTTCTTGAATTTTACTTAACAATGATTGAAAATGTTGTTTTTTTTTTTGTTTTTAATAGAGCTCTGCGACGCGGCAACGAAAATCCAGGCATCCTTCAGAGGCCACATGTCGAGAAAGGAGCAAGCTGCATCCGCCATCGTGAAGACGGCGGAGAACGCCATTGAGAGTATCGTTCCCAAGATGGAGGACGCGGTAAGTTCTCGAACTAAACCTAATTCCGTCATCACAAACACCAAATGTATCCAGTCACGGTGCAATTTACACTTTTGTGTCTAATTAATCTCAGATTCGATGGATAAAACGATTAGAATTTAACGATCTTCTTATTTTTCGTGTTTATTATTTATATAAATATTTTAACAACTGTGATAGTCACTGGTAATCGACACTTTGAATTTACAGTGTGTTTCAAAGTTGTTTGCAACGAAAGAACTGTAAATTGTTAAGTTTTAACAAGTTTTAATAATCAAGTTTGTTTGAACAATCAAGGTTACTTGAACAATCAAATACTCGACTTGATTTAATCAATCCAAACTGAGCTTGACTCGTACTTTCAAATATTAATCAAGTTTTCTTCTTAAATCAAGATTGGAACAATAAAATACTTGATTCAATTTAAACAATCTGAACCAAGCTTGACTCGACTCATATTTCCAAATACTTGAACACTTCGATTCGATCAAGATTGAACAGTGAAATACTTGATTCAATTTAAACAATCTGAACCAAGCTTGACACGACTCATATTTCCAAATACTTGAACACTTCGATTCGATCAAGATTGGAACAATGAAATACTTGATTTAATTCAAACAGTCTGGACCAGATCAAATATAATACTAAAATTAGGTGGGAATACATGATCAAGTATGTTTGAACAATCAAGGTTACTTGAACAATCAAATACTCGACTTGATTTAATCAATCCAAACAGAGCTTGACTCGTACTTTCAAATATTAATCAAGTTTTCTTCTTAAATCAAGATTGGAACAATAAAATACTTGATTCAATTTAAACAATCTGAACCAAGCTTGACTCGACTCATATTTCCAAATACTTGAACACTTCGATTCGATCAAGATTGAACAGTGAAATACTTGAGTCAATTTAAACAATCTGAACCAAGCTTGACTCGACTCATATTTCCAAATACTTGAACACTTCGATTCGATCAAGATTGGAACAATGAAATACTTGATTTAATTCAAACAGTCTGGACCAGATCAAATATAATACTAAAACTAGGTGGGAATACATGATCAAGTATGTTTGAACAATCAAGGTTACTTGAACAATCAAATACTCGACTTGATTTAATCAATCCAAACAGAGCTTGACTCGTACTTTCAAATATTAATCAAGTTTTCTTCTTAAATCAAGATTGGAACAATAAAATACTTGATTCAATTTAAACAATCTGAACCAAGCTTGACTCGACTCATATTTCCAAATACTTGAACACTTCGATTCGATCAAGATTGGAACAATGAAATACTTGATTTAATTTAAACAGTCTGGACCAGATCAAATATAATACTAAAATTAGGTGGGAATACATGATCAAGTATGTTTGAACAATCAAGGTTACTTGAACAATCAAATACTCGACTTGATTTAATCAATCCAAACAGAGCTTGACTCGTACTTTCAAATATTAATCAAGTTTTCTTCTTAAATCAAGATTGGAACAATAAAATACTTGATTCAATTTAAACAATCTGAACCAAGCTTGACTCGACTCATATTTCCAAATACTTGAACACTTCGATTCGATCAAGATTGAACAGTGAAATACTTGATTCAATTTGAACAATCTGAACCAAGCTTGACTCGACTCATATTTCCAAATACTTGAACACTTCGATTCGATCAAGATTGGAACAATGAAATACTTGATTTAATTCAAACAGTCTGGACCAGATCAAATATAATACTAAAATTAGGTGGGAATACATGATCAAGTATGTTTGAACAATCAAGGTTACTTGAACAATCAAATACTCGACTTGATTTAATCAATCCAAACAGAGCTTGACTCGTACTTTCAAATATTAATCAAGTTTTCTTCTTAAATCAAGATTGGAACAATAAAATACTTGATTCAATTTAAACAATCTGAACCAAGCTTGACTCGACTCATATTTCCAAATACTTGAACACTTCGATTCGATCAAGATTGAACAGTGAAATACTTGATTCAATTTAAACAATCTGAACCAAGCTTGACACGACTCATATTTCCAAATACTTGAACACTTCGATTCGATCAAGATTGGAACAATGAAATACTTGATTTAATTCAAACAGTCTGGACCAGATCAAATATAATACTAAAATTAGGTGGGAATACATGATCAAGTATGTTTGAACAATCAAGGTTACTTGAACAATCAAATACTCGACTTGATTTAATCAATCCAAACAGAGCTTGACTCGTACTTTCAAATATTAATCAAGTTTTCTTCTTAAATCAAGATTGGAACAATAAAATACTTGATTCAATTTAAACAATCTGAACCAAGCTTGACTCGACTCATATTTCCAAATACTTGAACACTTCGATTCGATCAAGATTGAACAGTGAAATACTTGAGTCAATTTAAACAATCTGAACCAAGCTTGACTCGACTCATATTTCCAAATACTTGAACACTTCGATTCGATCAAGATTGGAACAATGAAATACTTGATTTAATTCAAACAGTCTGGACCAGATCAAATATAATACTAAAATTAGGTGGGAATACATGATCAAGTATGTTTGAACAATCAAGGTTACTTGAACAATCAAATACTCGACTTGATTTAATCAATCCAAACAGAGCTTGACTCGTACTTTCAAATATTAATCAAGTTTTCTTCTTAAATCAAGATTGGAACAATAAAATACTTGATTCAATTTAAACAATCTGAACCAAGCTTGACTCGACTCATATTTCCAAATACTTGAACACTTCGATTCGATCAAGATTGAACAGTGAAATACTTGAGTCAATTTAAACAATCTGAACCAAGCTTGACTCGACTCATATTTCCAAATACTTGAACACTTCGATTCGATCAAGATTGAACAGTGAAATACTTGATTCAATTTGAACAATCTGAACCAAGCTTGACACGACTCATATTTCCAAATACTTGAACACTTCGATTCGATCAAGATTGAACAGTGAAATACTTGATTCAATTTGAACAATCTGAACCAAGCTTGACTCGACTCATATTTCCAAATACTTGAACACTTCGATTCGATCAAGATTGAACAGTGAAATACTTGATTCAATTTGAACAATCTGAACCAAGCTTGACTCGACTCATATTTCCAAATACTTGAACACTTCGATTCGATCAAGATTGAACAGTGAAATACTTGAGTCAATTTAAACAATCTGAACCAAGCTTGACTCGACTCATATTTCCAAATACTTGAACACTTCGATTCAATCGAGATTGAACAGTGAAATACTTGATTCAATTTAAACAATCTGAACCAAGCTTGACTCGACTCATATTTTCAAATACTTTGCAAACAAATAGCAATAAATAAATATGAAAGAAACCCTTAATAATTCAAAGGTACCCAAAGGTGGACGAATAAAATGAATGAAGGATTGAAAATGTTGCAAAATGGCGGCGGGAAAATGGCGTGTAACATAGAACGATCGTTCTGAAGTTGATAACGCTGAAATGTCAAAGGACATTGCCACGAAAAGTGAGGTTGTTACGTGCTGGAAAACTCCATTTTCTTTCGAGCTTTCCCGCTGAAGAGTTTTCCGTCCCAGTGAGATCTCGCAACTAGGTTGCCACCTATATATATATATATATATATGTGCATCGTGCACGCATTATAATAGACGTTGAAGTGAACCCGGTTTAACATTCAATGGCTCGTCCTCTTGAGATTAATTGGAAATCAATATTCTATTATCGAAAGTAATGTCGCGTTTCACCGCGATCAATTCGGTGGCCACATACGCTTCCGGTGTCCTTCCATTTTGTTTTTTTTTATTTTTTAACCTGAAAATAATGCATCCATCTTCTGTCGTTCGTGAAATTTATCAAACTTTTTATATAACTCGTCGATCTGAAATTTATCGACACTTACGCCCCAATGGCGGCATGATGGAGACAAAAAGCAAAGTCTTTTAGCGTTCAATTCGAAATTTAAGTAGGCTCAGAGTGAAAAAACACGAAAGTAACATTTTCTATGCGATGTGGAAGATTTTTTATTGTTTTTGAGGGTTATGGAAGTTTTTAGAACCCCTAAACTGTACTTCTACGTTAAAATAACAATATCATTCGAACTCAAACAAATTTTGAGGTTATTAACCTATTCAATAGTGTGTTTTTAATTAATTGATAACTCGAAACAAGTAGAATCACTATTACTATTATTATTGTTATTCTGTAAGAAGTTTGACGTTAAAATATTGTTTATATTAATTGAAATTGAATTTTGTTGCAAAAGTTATTAAATAACTGATGGAATAATGATGATATTGAAGATGATATCTGAAACTTGCAATAAAATGATAGATAATAATTTATAATAAATTCATATATAATATAAACAACCCCTGTAACCATAATTGAACTTTCCACTATAGCGATATCGTTTTGAGGTTATTAATCGACACAAATGCAGTGTGTTTTTAATTAATTGATAACTCGAAACAAGTAGAATCACTATTACTATTGTTATTGTTATTCTGTAAGAAGTTTGACGTTAAAATATTGTTTATATTAATTGAAATTGAATTTTGTTGCAAAAGTTATTAAATAACTGATGGAATAATGATGATATTGAAGATGATATCTGAAACTTGCAATAAAATAGTAGATAATAATTTATAATAAATTCATATATAATATAAACAACCCCTGTAACCATAATTGAACTTTCCACTATAGCGATATCGTTTTGAGGTTATTAATCGACTCAAATGCAGTGTGTTTTTAATTAATTGATAACTCTAAACAAATAGAATCACTATTACTATTATTATTGTTATTCTGTAAGAAGTTTGACGTTAAAATATTGTTTATATTAATTGAAATTGAATTTTGTTGCAAAAGTTATTAAATAACTGATGGAATAATGATGATATTGAAGATGATATCTGAAATTTGCAATAAAATGATAGATAATAATTTATAATAAATTCATATATAATATAAACAACCCCTGTAA